AATTTATTGTGGTGGGGGCCGTCCTGTGCATTATAGGATGTTTAGCAGCATTCCTGGCCTCTATCCACTGAATGATGGTAACAACTCCACTCCCGGATGTGACAACCAGAAACATTGCAAACAATGCCAAATGTCCTGGGGCATGGGGGCAGAAGGGCAGAATCACCCCGGTTGTGAACCACTGGGCTAAGGGATGGTTGCTTGAAAAGCTAGGGTTCTTGCGACGCTCCTCACCTGGGGGCCAGAGGAGCGACGCCTGGCACTACTTCTTTGCTGAGGCTAACATAAAACAGCCTACGGAACAGCACCAGAGGATCCAGTATCATTGTCAGTCCCGAACATTCCAAGCAGAATGCAGGTTACCCAGCAACCGTACTTGCTCAAGCCTAATACCCCGGTCAAAGGGGAGGCCTAGTCTATGGCTCCCGGCTGAGAAGCTTCATGTGTTAACTGCCAAGGCAAACCCAGGCGGCCTTTCAGATTCCTCCAGGGATAATTCACAACCGTCCAAGCATAGCCCAGGGCCGCCTCTCCGATCTCATCATCCACCCTTCCCTCTTTGCTCAAATCCCACTGGCCTCGCTAGCTGATCTTCTAACAGGCCAGGCGGTTTCTGCTCCTGGGTCTTTATGCCAACGGCACCCCGGGCCAGATATCCTTAACTCCCTCACTCCATTCAGGTCTCTGCTCAAATGTCACCTCTTTACATTGATCCCAACCACCCCTACCCCACCCCCGCAAACGAGCAAGCCCCTTGGCTTACTGAGCGCGGAGTATATTCTACATTCATTGATTTTTCTGTTAAGTTCCGCCCATAAGCTGCTTGAGGATTTCCTGTCAATTTCCCAGTGCCTGTTCAGCACCTGACGCGATGACTCTGACAGATGGTGAATGAATTAATGGAAAAGCCGGTCATTCCTCTCAAGGCTCAGGCTCAGCCCCAGCCCCTTGGGCCCAAGGTTCCCTCGCTCATCGCCCTGGGGCCTGGCGCCTCTCCCAGCCTGGGGCAGGCAAAGGGGCTGGGGGGTGGGTAGCTGCGGCATTTTGCAGGGAAACGGCGCGGGGTAGGCTGCGGCAATGGCGACGGCAGCCCAGCCCGCTGCCCGATCTGAAGGGTTAAGGCCTGAGGAAGGGCGACCTGAGGTCCCTGGGTCCGAGGAGACCGGACATAGGCCGGAGGTCAGGGGCTCAGAGAACGCGGACGCTCAAGCCGGGGCCCTCGGACACAGGCGACAAAGGCCAAGACCTCGGGCGGCCGGGAGGCGGGACGCGAGGCGCGGAGCACAAAGAACTGAGGCGCCAAGGCGTGAGCGGGGCGAACCTGAGGCGACGGACCCGCGGCGCCATTTTGTGACCGCAGAGAGGGCAGCGTCCAGGCCCCTGGGGAGGTGCGGGCGAGCACGGTGCGGCTCTGGCACGTCCCTGTCCCTCCCCACCCGAAGCCCGACCCCAACCCTGCGGGCCCACCTGTATAGCTCATAGCAGCAGCCAACACTGCACCCGAGGACTCAGGCAGCTGTCCCACACGTCCGACGCCGGGATAGCGGCGACAATCCCCTGGGTCCCTTCTAAGACGACCGAACCCCACCTCCCGGCCCCATTGGCTCGCGTCGGACTCTGGGTTTACTCCTATTGGATGACAGCGCAGTCTATCCCACCCTCACGTTAGAGACTGACGGTGCTGCCAGTCTCGTGAGAGCCCCGCCCCCCGTTATCCCAAGCCCGCGATGATTGGCTGAGAGAAGAGGGCCGGGAGACGGAATCTTGCAGAATTCGAAGGGGCGGAACTGTGTACTACGGGAAGACCTGAGGCCCAAGCGCGGCTGGGCTGGGAGAGCGCAGGTGCCCTGGAGGACCGCCAGAGGGAGCCGGAACTACCGCCCAGGGCACTGTTCCAGTCCCGGCTCTGCTACTGAGGTGCTGTACAAACCTAGGTTGTTAACTTCTCTGGCCTTCAGCTCCAAAAACGAGCACGGTATGGCCATGCTGGAACGAAAATTACAACTAAGTGCCAAACAAGATGCTCGGCACACGTTCAAACATATGAGATAATGTATGTAAAGAAATCAGTCCAGCGCCGGGTGCGCTAAATGTTATCTTTTGTTGTTAATCGTTACATAATGATAACGGATAAATTCATACAGCATGTTTATATGGTATATGTAATAAATATATTCGTATTATCATCTCAAATGCTCCCGTCGTACCTGCAAGGTCCTTTTTAAAGAATTTCCCATTTAAAAAATAAGACAGGCTTGGAATTCATGACTTGCCCTAGGTCCTTGGCACTTAAGTGTTAAAGCTTGAACTTCAGGACTTTAGAGATCTTGTAATAGCGCAGCCTGGCGCCAGCCCTGTCTCCTCAGCATCCTCATTGGATATGTGGAATCCACTTTCGGAGACTTAAGAGATGACTTGACAGAATTGCAGACACTGAAAATGGTATTTACATGTTTGTGAAAACTCATCAAACTGAGTACAATTATGGCTTGTACATGGTTTTTCTGTTGTTTTAAAAAGTTTGTTTTAAAGTATGAGCAATGTTGCTGACTTCTTGATATTAAGGAATTGTCAATCTCTTTAGGTGTAATAATGGCATATTTAAAAGTCCCTATCCTTCAGAGAAAGGTTGAAATATTAAGATTAATTCACATAATGACAAGTACGTGATTCACCATAGTTCAGATGGGGAAAGGGAAAGAGGGTGTGGAAGGGTTATAGATGAAGAGCTTGGTCTTGAGTTGGTAATTGATAAGTAGGTGACGGTTCATTTTACTATTTTTGTATGGTTGGGATTCTCCATAAAATATTTTAATAAAACAACCCCTCCCCTAAAAATGGCTTATGCAGAACTTGCTGCCACATGGGACAAGGCTAATGATATATTGAGAAACTCCAAATATGAAGCATATAAAACTGATTGTGCACACCAGCCCTGGGGCTCATTGAAGTGTCATGCTCAGATGCCTGCCTGTTCTCCAAATTAAAGCTGAGCCCCCAGACACCTCTCGTGGATCCTACAGCTTCCTTCATGGCACATACCACAGCCATCATTTTACCTTCATTTGGGTGATTTTGTTAACATCCTATGCTCTGCCTCTGAGACAGAATGGCCTGAGAAGGGAAGGGACATGCTCAAAATTTTAGGAAAAGATCCCTCTGAGCTAAGAACAGTATGCGACCCTTGCGAGGACCTACATAGCTATCACTTCATGTGTGGGTGGGGAGGAACTTCCCATGTTACTTTATAAGGTCTTGTGCCATTTGAACTTTTTTAATCCAGCTTCCATCACTTTTATATTTTTAAAACTAATTTATAAAAAGCTGAAAAGGGGAATTGCCTATGGGTCAGCTCTCATCCCAAGAGATGCCCTTCCCGCCTTCAAAGTCTTGGACATGCCCACTCACAGGGTGGGATGGACAGAAGTGGTAGAGTCCTTCCTCCACCAGACGAGATGTGTGCCCTGACCTCACTGGACCAGAAAAGCCAAGAGTACAGGCCAAGACCACTCTCAGGGGCATGTTATCATAGCTTGTCAGCCTGTCCCTCCCAGCCAGGGGCATGGTGGGAGGCCTGGGGCAATGGCGTTGAGGGTAGAGGAGGCCTCTACACTTCATGAGGTTATTCCCACTTTCCAGCCCTTGGCCATTGAAGTGAAAATGATGAGCTGAAAAACCACATGCAATAAACAAGAAGGAGCAGCCAACAAAATCTCTTAAAATCTCAGAAATGTTCAATAAACATTTGCAGAGCGAGAAAATAAATAACATCGCAAAGGAGCCGGCAGCTCCCTTTTCCCCTCGTGTGATTCAGGTTCAGGGTGCCCGTGTCTCCAGACAAGTCACATGTCTTGAAGGCAGGCTGGCCCCAGTTCTCTGAAGGCTGCCAGCAACTGTGTGCCCTCCGCCACCCCCCCCGCCCCCGCAGGTCCCCCACACCCTCACTGGACAGCTCCTGCCCTTGGAGAGCCCTTCCAGCTTCATCACTTCATCCTGGCTCCCTTCCTAGACCAGCTGCCCAGAGTCTTGGTTCCTCTCCACTGCTCACGGGAGCTGCTTCGCCAGCCAGCCAGCTACCCAGCCAGCCAGAGCCCCCCACAAACCATGCCATTGAGGGCCAACAGCTGGGGACTTGGGCTCATCCCCAGCTGGGTCTGGTCAGCTTGGCAGCCAACAGGAAAACCCAGGGCCTCCGGGGGCTCTGGGAGGAGGCGGCTCGATCCCAGCCCCGGCTGCCAGGCGATGCCAGCCTGTCCACTCGACAGAGAAACACACGCTGGCCGCCTGCCCCGGGGTGTTTCCAGAAGAGAAATTTAATCTAATTTACATACTTCTAGGTACATCGATAACCAAAATGTGGCCACTGAAAAAAGTTAAAAGGTCAATCAGCTCCCGGTCTCTAGCTGGCCCAGGATTGCAAAATAAAAAGATCCACGTTCCTTATTCTCTACACAAAACGCGTTTTTAAAAAAGTGAAAGGTCTAGGGAGCTATACATAGAAAGCAACAGTGAAAAGAGGGAGGGGAGTGGGGGTGGGGGAGGAGAGTCCCATCCCCACCCCCTCCTGGGCCCCGGAGTCCCCCAAGGCTCTGGGGGGGCCTTGACATGGCAGGAGGCAGCTGTCAGCTCTGAGCTCTTCCAGGCTGGGAAGGCCCCTCTGGTTGGGGGGGCGGCCAATAAGGATTTCCGTGGCATCATGGGCTCAGTGGGGGGCTCCCAGGCCCCAGCAGGCCCTCAGAGGGAGCGTGCCTTCCCCTGAGCAAGCACCGTGGCATGATGTGGTCGTTTGACTCAGGAACTGGGGGGCTGGGGCAGATCCTGGGTCTCACGAGGTGCGTGTGCGCATGTGTGTATGTGCGTGCCGGTGTGTGTGTGTGTGTGTGTGTGTGTGTGTGCGTGTGTGTGTGTGTGTGCCGGTGTGTGTGTGTGTGTGTGTGTGTGTGCGTGTGTGTGTGTGTACATGTGTGAGAGGATATTCACAGGGGCAAGAGGGAACCAAGACAGGGGTCTTTGGGGTCTTTGCAAATGGCCACGGATGGCAAACATAGCCCTGCCTGGCTGCTAGATGCGGGGGGAGCGCTGGCCTTCCTCCCCTTGACCAGATCAGCTGCCACCACAAGAGACCTGGCCTCTCCCCCTGCTGGACCAGGTGGGCACGGGCTGAAGGAAGATGCGCTGTGTGTGGCCCCAGAGCCCTCGGGCTGGGGGAAGGGCCGCTAGCTGGCTCCTGGCGCCCCGGCTGTAGTGTGCCCGGCCCCCAAGGGGTACCGGTTTGAGGTTTTGGCTTGCTCCTTTGGAAACGGAAAAGAAAGAGGGAGGAGAGGGTGGAAGAGACGGAGGAGAAAGAGGAGACAGAGGTGGCACGAGAGGGAATTTGGAATGCTTCTGTGTTAGGGCGCGTCTGCCGCCGCTGTCTGTGCCTGCAGGGCCCGGGGCTCCTCAGGCGGAGGGTCCGCTTTGGAGAAATTCATCTCCAGGATGTGCCGCTGTAAGTGCCGCACCCACTCCTCCTGGATAGAGAGGGGCCCCTGGAATTCCACCTCACAGAACCTGTGTGGAGGAACAGAAAAAGAGAGAAGAGTGGCCACTGCCATGAGGAGAGGCAGATGTGTAGGCCTGCCCCGGTCCCTGAGCATCGGGCACACCCGCCACTACTCAGCGTGGAGACAGCCAGCCAAGAAGTTCAGGGAAGGGGACCCAGACGCCAGATGTTTCCTCACGGACAATTACCTGTACCCATCCCAGGATCAAGGTAGGGTCCCCTAATGACCCCCATCTCTATGCTCAGGGCAGTCTGCTGGCTCTGATGCTGGGAAAGTGCCATCGGGCTTCCCAAGTCCCTCTGCCATCAGACTGAAGCATGTGATCTGAGAGGGGAGAGAGCCCAGAGAGGCAGACCCTACCCCGCCAGGCTCCAAGACAGAAGGACAGCAGCTGGGGAAAAGGGGTCAGGCACTAACTCACACCCACCCTGCTCATGCACCCAACTCACCAACTCCCTGCGCCTGAGGGAGGCCTCACTGAACAGGGGCCCAGGACCTGAGCTCATGGCTCCAAACACTTGAGTTCAAATCTTACTTCTGACTTGGCCTATGCGGCCTGAGGCAGGCCGCCTTAAGTCTCAGACCCAGTTTCCTAGCCTTGGATGTACGCCTGGACTTTGGTAAAAATGAACTAAGACCTATATTTTCCTTAATCAGGCAAACACTCGTTGAGTGCTTACCATATGTTAGACGTAGTTCGAGTGCTTTATAAATATTCAACTTTTTTAATCCTCACAGCAAATCTGTTACCAACCCCATTCTATAGGTGGGAATATTGAGGCATGGGGCAGGAAGCCCTTGCTCAAGGTCACTATGCTGCTAAGTGTCAGAGCCAGCACTGGAACCCTCAGGGTCCCAGCTTAATGCTCTGAGGTGCCGCTGTCTGTTGAGAAGCCCTTACCCTGGGTCCAGCCACACTCTAAGGCAGTCCTTGAGGCTCTATCTGCTGACGCCCACCAACCTATCTTGTTCAGAGGCTCTGGGTGACCAAGCCCCAGGTGGGTGGACTTTCTCCCCACTGCCCCAGGGGGCTGCATACCTGCACTTGAGGGTGTAGATGTTGCCAACAAATTTGACCAGTGATGTCTGGGGGGGCCGGGGTACCAGGGAGGGGACTGGCCGGACCCGGGGCGGGGGCTGCCGCACCTCCTCCAGCTTCTGCTGTAGATCATTGGCCTCTTCTCCCCCCCGGACCGCAGAGGCATCTGGAGGGCGGGCTTGTCGGCGCTCAAATTCTGAGGTGGGGAAAGGTGAAGGGAGGAACAGGAGATAAGCCAGAGGGCAAGACTCCTGGGAAAGTTCCTGCCTTTAGCAAGCAAGGGGTGGAGGCTATGGGGAACTGTTAAGACAGGACAGCTGGTGACTGGATGCTGCCTGGGCCTCAGGACAGGTGGGATGGTGCCCAGAGGGGAGAATGGGTGAGCAACTGGGGAAGTGACAAAGGGCAGATGCACAGTGGAGAACCCTGGTGGCAGGTGTCCCCCACCCTCAAAACCCCCTTCCACCAGCACTCACTGTTGATGTTCTGCCGCTGGTGCTCCTCGGCCTTCACAGTGCCTGGTGGGCTGGCTGCCAGAGGCCGCTCACCACTGTCAGCTGCCCGGCCAGCCTCAGGCCCTGGCTCACCCCCAGCACTGCGGCCCACCACAGCCAGGCCCCCAGGTGCCAGCCCTAGGGGCGGCCGCTTGTCGCTGTCACGGCCATGCCCGGCGCTGCGGAACTTCTTGGTGAAGGGGCGGCCGCCCTGGATGTAGCTGCGGTAGGCCCCCACCTTCTGGGGCCGGTGCTTGATCCACTCGCTCAGTGTCTCAATGGGTGAGCCGTTCACACACCACTCGGTCACGCCAAATTGCCGCAGGTGCGCCCGCGCGTGGCTGGCCAGGGCCTTGCGGTTTTCGAAGTAAAGGCCACACAGCTCACAGCAGGCCTCAGTGGCTGCAGGCAGAGGGGGTGCCGCTGAGTCCCAGCCCAAAGGGAACAAGAGTACCCAGAAGGCCCTGCCCAGGTCAGGAGTCAGTCCCGCCTCCCACTGGGGCCTTGCCATGGGCCCCTGCTGGGTGTCAGTGTGTGCGGGGCACTGCCAGGCCCTGCAGGCCCCAGCAGATGCCCTCCCAGGACCCTGCCACCCACTGCTTACAGGAGTGGGAGGTCTTCTCGTGAAGGGTCTTTGCCTTGAAGGGCAGTTCGGTCTGGATGTAGGTCTTGGCCTTAACCTCTGCTGGGAGGAGGCGATCCTCCTGCAGGGGCCGCTTGGCTGCCACTGAGCCCAGGTAGCCAGTGGCTGCGGGCTTGGCACCGGTGATGGGCGCCAGGCTGAGCTCTCGAGGAACCTGGGCGGGCCCAGCTCCCGGTTTGCCTGGGCGGCCTGCCATTGGCGCCAGTGGCAGGGGGGCCTGCACAGGCCCAGGAGCAGCCGTGGGAGGCCCATCCTCAGCCAAGGCAGGGGCCAGGTCTCCAGCTGGCGGCTCTTTCTTGATGAGGCACGGTTTGGACTTCTTCTTGAGGATCTCCCGCAGCGTGTCGATGGGCGAGCCGTTGACAGACCACTCGGTCACGCCCATCTGCCGCAGGTGGGAGCGCGCGTGGCTTGACAGGCCCTTGCGGTTCTCGAAGAACTCACCGCAGAACTCACAGCGGATGTCACGCACAGGCTCTGCCCGGGACGCTGCAGGGGGTCCAGGGTGGAGGGAGGGGGAGGAGAAGGAGGCGGCTGCTGCGGCGGGAAGCCTCCAAGCTCAAGGCTAATGTTAAGTGCCTGGCTGTCCCGTCCATGCAGCCCCAGACCCAAATGACCCGCTCCCTCATCCGCTTCCAGGGGCCCTTGTGTACATTCAGCCCTTCTGCTTGTCCTGTCACCTCAAATTCTAGCTGGCTTCAAGATGGTTCCCTGTGACATTGAGAAGCAGTGAGGAGAAAGCACTTCCTCGATACTGGGCTCAGACACCAGCTTGGCTGTGACCCCCTACGTTATACTGGGCAAACCACTTCCCCTCTGAGCCTCAGTTTCCTCCTCTACAAAATGCAGATGGAAACCTCCCCCTGGAGGGAGCAGCTCCAAGCATGTGGCACACAGCTGGTATGAAATACACCTGAGCACTGAGGCAGAGGCCTGGGCCATCCTCACCTGCTCAGCACACAACTCAGCCAACTGAGCAGAAAGAACAGTGACAGGGATAGTACGACTACCGACTCCTGAAAAACATGGCTTCGTTTAAGCAGGCACCGTCCAAAGTGCTTTACACCACTCTGGAACTACACAGAGCTCGGACCATGCTTATCTTCTACCTCCAGAAAGAGGAAACTCGCCCAAGGTCACATATTGCTGGAGTGGAAGAGCTGAGCACTTAACTTAAACCTGGCTCCAAATGTTAAACACCTTAGCAACCAGGAATGCCAGAAAGAAGGTACAGCCTCCCACTTCCAGTCTCTATACCCCCACCCGTGGCAGACATCACTAATTGACCCCTGCAATCTTTCTCCCTAGGAATCTGGTTGGTAGACACTACCAATTGACTTGACGGTGGCCCAAGAGGTAAAATCTTCTGGGCATCATTGAATGGCACAATTCTGCCTCCCCAGTGTGGATGGAGAATCAAGAGGCAGCTCGGCTGAGGGTCTGCATAGCAAGAACGCACAGCTAACCCCTTGTTCTCTGGACCTGTGTGTCCTCCCTTCTATTTCTACCCTGGGTGCTCTGGGTATCCATGAAGTGTGTGGGGTGGGGCGCGGAGGGAGACCCCTCTACCTGCTCTCACTGCCCTGCCCCCGGGGTCACACTTACACAGGTTCAGGGGGGCCATGTCTTCCCGTGGCGCCGCCCAGGGACCCTCGGATGGGTGTGGCTCCCCATGAAGGGCCCCTGGCAGCATCTCCCGTTTGATCTCCACCCGCATTTGTTCAGGCTTCAGCTTCTTGGGCAGGGAGGGTGCGGCCAGGCCTGGGAACATCTTCCGGGCCGTGGGAGGAGGAGAGGCAGTTGGTGAGTGGCCCAGGGGGCTGCCTGGTGGCGGTGGCAACTTCTTGGCCAGGGGTGAGAGGTGAAGGTCTGCAGGGCTGCGGGCTTCCAGCGAGCTGCCAGGACCTCCGCTGCCCACCACCTTGGCCAGGGCTTTTGGGCTTGGCCCTGGTGGGTTAGCGGGGCCGCCAGGCCGGGACTGGGTCCGTCTCTTGAGGATCTCCCGTAGTGTGTCAATGGGTGAGCCGTTGACATACCACTCGGTCACGCCCATCTGCCGCAGGTGCGAGCGTGCGTGACTTGATAGGCCCTTGCGGTTCTCGAAGAACTCACCACAGAACTCACAGCGGATGTCTCGAGCTGGCTCTGGGCCCGAGGCTGCAGCAGGAGAAAGGAGTAATTAGCATCGTGGGTATCATTAGCATTCTTGTCTGTGGGTCTCCTGGTCGGCTGGGCATGGGCAGCAGCATGCCCACAGGCTGGGGTAGTGGTGGAGGGCAGGTGCAAGCGAGGGAACTGAGGAGTGGGGCAGGGCCCAGACACTCAGCAGGAGCGAGGGGAGGCTCCAGAGAGCGCATGGGCCCTTGGTCCTGGCAGAGGACGGAACCAAGACTCCACAGCTCTGCGGGTCCCGGGTCCCAACAAGGATGGGGGCAAGAGGGCAGGAAGTAGTAGCCTTAAGTGCCAAATACCATCCAGACCAGGGGCAACCATGGACACTTTCCACACCAAAAGGCAGCACCCCACCCTTGGCCTTTATTCTCAGGGAAGGTCACAGTCATGGAGGTCAAAGGCCAAGAGAGAGGGCCTAGCAGCCAACTGCCAACAAGATCTCTGGGCAGAACCAGGCCACTGCCAAGGGCCCCTGTCTACTCCCTGCCCCAGCAGGAAAGGAGTAGGGAGGGGGCTGTGACCCCCCCGGGAGGGGCTCCAGGGCCCGCAGGGAGGAGGGAGCGGCTGAAGCGAGAACCTACAGAGGTTGAGAGGAGACGGCTCCACATCAGAGGCCCAGAAAATGCCGGCGGCTGCGGCGGCCGAGAGGTCCTGCTTCCCCCAGGGGCTGGCCGTACCCGCGGCCTTCAGCTTGGCCTTCTTGGCCGGCGGTGGGGGGGGGAGCAAGGAGAGGGCCGTAGAGGTGGGAGGAGGCCGCCCCAGCTGGGCCAGGGTGCCGCGCCCGGGTGGGAGGCGGATCTGGACGCCGTCCCTCCTGATGAGCCCGTGGAGCACGTCTATGGGGGATCCCTTGGCGTCCGGGTCGCTGACGCCCAGGTGGCGCAGGTGGGCACGGGCGTGGCTGGACAGGCCCTTGCGGGTCTCAAACCAGGCACCGCACAGCTGGCAGTCCAGCTCTCTGCCCCCGTCACTATCTAAAGCTGCGGAGACAAAACACAGGGGGGGGGTTCACGGCCGCCACCTTGGCCGGCCCTGGGGGACTGAGGCAAGAAGACCTGATATGATTCAAGGCTGCCCAGGCCGTTTGGGGATCAAGACTCATGCCGCAGATTTATTTTAAGAGGTTTTGGGAAACAGAAAGTCCTGTTCCCTGCCTAGCCCTTTCGCATCAAGGTGAGTGTGGAGAACTTAAGGATGTGGGGTGGAGAGGTGGTGGCCAAATTCCAGTGGCACAATCTGATGCTCCCAGGCACTCTTCCCCGGGACCCCAGCTGTGGGAGCTGTGTGGGTGCAAACCAGGGGCCTCACCCAGCTGCCAAGCATCATACAGCCAAGGGCAGACCTGCTCAGGGCCTTGCTCCTGAAAGCAGAGCAGACAATGGAAGCAGCTTCATGGGAACATGAGGTGCCAACTGGGGTGCCCCATTGGGCAGGGGGTCAGACCCTGGGCTCACCCCAGGCTAACACCCACAAATGTGTGGGAAGGCCTGACTTCCTAAGGGACGCCATGCTAAACCTGCTCACTGCACGGGGGAGGGAGGGGAGTGGTTCTTCCCAAACCCTTCTTTGTCATGCCCACAGGCAGCCCGGGAGGTATGGCTCCACTCATAGGCACATTAGAGGTGCCTCTGCACAGACAGCCAGGAAGATGTGAAGTCAGGGCCAACTACAGGACCTCCTGCCAGGTGGGCCATCTGCCTGCCTATAGGACCCAAGATGCCCCTCTGGGGAAGCCAGGCCCACAGGAGTTCTGATTACCTTCACTGCCCCAACCCTCAGGCTCAGAGAAGGCCAAGAGTGCCCCTAAGTAGTGAGGATGACCCTGGCAGGCTCAGCAGCCACAGCCAGGCCTCCAGGGGGAAGAACAGCAAAGTATAGTGGGAGGCAGATGATAATATGCTGCATGGCCAGCCCAACAGGAGACACATTGCTCTGACCAACATTCTGACCCAGCGGACCCAGGACATAGGAGCTGTAGTCCCCATTGTCCCCACCCTGGGCTCTGCAGCCCTCCCGGTGCCAGGACCTCCCTCAGCTCCCGGGACCCGCACTCACTGAGGTTCAGGGGCCCTTCGTCCTCAGACTGGGGCCACTGTGCCTTTGGGGAGGCTGGCCGGGGGCTCAGGGACAGCTGGGGGCTCTTGTCCTCAGGATTCTTGGGGGTAGGGGAGCCCGCCAGGGCCAGTGGTGCCTTCTTGAGGAGTGGGGAGCTGGGTGGGTGGGCCAAGCCCTTGGTCGAGAAGCCAGGAGGTGACTTGATGGCCTTGTTGACAGCAGGGGCATCCAAGGGCTTGGCCAAGGCAAGCAGGCCAGGCCGGGGGGCCCCAGCGACCACCTCCTTCGGTGAGTTGGACTTCTTAGACAGGCCCGGAGGCAGCCCAAGGGGTGTGTCGGGCAGGCCCTTCTGCTTCACGAGCTCGTAGAGGAGGTCAATGGGGGCACCGCTGCTCTCCGACTCGGCCACCCCCAGCTGCCGCAGGTGGGAGCGTGCGTGGCTGGACAGGCCCTTGCGTGTCTCAAAGCAGGCACCGCAGACCTCGCAGGTGGTCAGGCTCTGGGCTGGAGGGTGAGATGGAGGCCAAGAGAGCTGACTGTGAGGCCCCTTGAGCCCTGCCCTCCCCACTTCTCCTCCTCCCAGGACCCCACTCACCCAGGCTCCCTGCAAGCCTCCCTGACCCTTAAAATGACCCTAATAAGGTAGAAATCAGCCTGTCCAGTTTGCAAATAAGGAAACTGAGTCTCAGAGAGGGAAGAATTGTGCCCAAGGGCACACAGCAGGAGGCAGAGCCCTTCTGTGGTCCAGCATGCCTTTCAGATATCCAACATACCAGGGTGTCCCGGCACGAGGTGTTCACACAAACACTGACCTGCCAGTCACACGCTTCCCAGAACTGTCCTAGCCAGCCTCTGCAGCTCAACTCGAGCCCCAAACACTGGGTTGGATGGCCCAGCCACAGTCCCTGTGGTGCCCTACACCCTATTCTGCAGAGCCCTTATCGCCGCCTGTCTCCTTCTCTGCCTCCCTGCTCCCCAATTTCAATGACTCCAAGGACAAGTACCAGGTCCATTCTGCTCTCTCACATCCCTGGAGTCCAGCACAGTGCCTGTCAACTACTCAATAATGATTTCAATATCAACATACAGACAACACAGTATCACACAGAAGATCACACAGCTAATGAGGGCCAAAGTCAGCAAATGAACTGGGTCTAAGTGCGAGCTCTTGAAAGCCACGCTGTTTCCCTGGATGCCCCTCCCCCGCCCAGTGAGGTTACAGCTCAAGGCCATGCTCCCCCAGGGCAGCAGAAGCTGGACAGAAGACAACCAGATGTCTCCTTAGTGCCTTGGGGTGAAGAGAAAGCTGTTGACCTCACACTAACCCCAGGCCCAAGAGTTCCCTGTGAGTGTGACCAGCCTGGTCAGCATCCCCCACCTTGCCACCTGGGTCACTCACCCTTGAGATCTGGCAGCTCCTGCTTGCTGCCATGAGGAACCTCTGCAGCCACTTTGCTACTCAGCCGATTGGCCACCTGCTCCAAGGGCCCAGGGACAGGCAGGCTCTTCTTGGGGAGTGGGGGGGAGCCCAAGTCCATGGCCACCATTGTGTTTTCCTCAGAACCCAGGCCTGTGAGGTTAGGAAAACAAGCTCAGCCCAGGCTGGGCATGAGCTGTCTACCCCCATAAAGACGAGAGTGGGGGCATGGAGCCTTTTTCCTCATCCTTGGCATGTGCTCTCACTCTGGGAGGAAACTCACCCTATGAGAGCAGAGGCTCCACCCAAACCCCCAGCACCAGGATGTCAAGGCTGCACACTGACAGTAGGGACTAGGAGCAGCTTCCACCCACCCAGAACACACACTGGTTGGGACAGTGACTCCCATCCTAGGTCTGACAAAATCTCTCTCTGGGCACAACTTGTGCAGGGGACCAAGTCAGTCTTGGAAAAAGGTAGGTGGCAGTCAGAAGGGGAATTCAGTAAGAGAAGGCCAGTCAGAGGCCAGAGAAGCAACGCAGAGACAAGGAGCCAAGGACAGGAAGGAGGCTCCACCGGACTTGTGCGGAACCTCCACCAGACAAGACAGCTGGGGCTGCAGAGAGAACTCGGGGCTCCATAGTAGTCTGCTTATCACAAGCTGAGTCCTAAGTGGGGTAAGGTGAGAACTGGGAGCCTGGATCAGCCGGGATCTGAATGGGGACAGGAAGAGTGGGAATCACAGAACTTTGCAGAAGTTTCTGAGGCATCCCTCAGGTCAGGAAGCTTCCCTGAATGTGGTGTGTGTGAGTACAGGGAGTCGAAGGTATGCTTTCATGGTCTAATTTTTCAGAGAAGGGGGCCTGAGTGGCCTGGGGAGCGCCAGGTTTAGCGTTCGGGGTACGGAAACAGCTCTGAGGCTGAAGAAACTGGGTGTTAGTTGAGGCTTTGGAGTCGTTCAGTGCTACGAGCAGGAAGCCATGCAGGTCCTATGCTCAGTTTGAGTCCTACGGAGGCAAGGAGAAGGCAGGTACGGGGGTCCACCGGGGCCCGGGACACCGAGGACTTTGTCAAAGTCGCCGGGTGGAGTGGGCGCGTCTGTCAGATGGTGTAGGGACCGTGTCTGAAGTGACTTGGAGTGGGTTTCCGCGCCGGAGGGACCGAGACTGTGGCGAGGGACGCTCCCGGGGCTCCAAGGGGAACAGGGAACATCTGTCAGACGGGGTGAGGGTCCCACGGAGCAGCGGCGGGGAGTGTTTCTGAAGCCCGGGACCCTGCGAGCTGCGACAGGAGGCCCGGGGCCCGCGCGACTGGAGGGCCTGGGGGGGAGGGGGAGTCCCGGAGACTGGACGGCGGGCGTCAGGGACGGCGGCAGGGGGCGGGCAGAATGCCGACTTTGCCCTCCCCGCACCCTCCCCGGCGCGGGCTCTTACCCGGCGCGGGCGCCGGCCCGGGCCCCGGCTCCGGCTCGGCCT